CACGTATACACACACAATACATTACACTACTTGTTGTAAAATGTACTTTTTAAAAAATGAGAAAGGAGAGCCACTTAAACGTTCACCCCACTACTTTACCAAATTTACACATTAGTTTGAAAGAGGAATTTGTCCCTAATGCACTATATGAACAAGCATTTCCATGTCACGATGCCCTTGACATATTGCACACTAACCACTCTGACTTGGAACTCATTCAATATTATAGAAAATATCCTGTAATTTATTTTGCTAGTGTAGCCAATCCAATGGTACAATGTTTACTCACATTCTTTTGTGCTTTGGAACTTTTGATTGTATTTGTGAGTGAGGGGGTTTTTTTGGTTTTTTATTTTTTATTTATTTATTTATTTTTTTGGTGAGTTTTGAACCAAGAAAATAAATGAATTTTAGTACTTGACAAATAGACCATTTGCAAATGTTGGACCTAGAGGAAAAATTTAAATACACATTTAATATCAAATAAATTTTTTTAAATTAATTAAAAATATTTCACTTAGATACTAATTATTAATGTTTAGCAGGCATTTAAATAGTGTCCAACTTAGTGCAAAGCACTGAGCTTAGTATGGCCAGGGGACGGAAAAACGTGAATGTGAAAATTCACAGTTCCAGCTTTCTGAGGAACTTACCATGAAGGAGACTAACTTGTGCATAAGTAACACCAGGGAGTAAAATAAGGGTAGGAAGGAAACAAGCCCACTGCCCTCTAGTGAAACTCTAATGATATTATGAAGTTGCTATAAAACCCCATCCTGACATGTAGTCAGCATTATGATCCTACCAAATCTGAAGGCAGGAAGCTGGTGAAGTGGAAAAAGGTTACTGAGAGGGAATACTCTTACAGGGGTGAAACCGGGATGGACATCTCGCTGCTATGTGCCATTCTTCAGTCCTTTTCCAGTGGGTTTTTTGATTGTAGACTGTCCTTTCAGTCTAGGGTGCTATGGCCAGGACCATGTTAAATTTCTCTGCCTGTCCCTTGGTCATTGGTAGAATGTGTTCCCCAAGCTTTGCACCCCGTAGCCATTCTAAAACTGTCATTCACTGACTGATGCTCAAATGAATTTTGTCTTCTATGTGAGAGAAATATGAGTGAGCTGTATGTTACAGTTCTTGGAAATATTGTTCCAGGCCAATTTATTGAACTTCCAGGCATTGAATGCCTAGGGGATAGTATATAAATTGTACTTACAAAGCTATTAATAATTAGGGAGGTTTTATCTTGAGTGGAAATATAAGTCATGATAAACATCGCAACACATTTTCTTTCCCTATCAATAGAATATATTGTGGAATATGAACATAATTTTTTTTAATTTTAGCATATTATAGGGGTACAAATGTTAAGGTTACATATATTGCCCAATTTTTAAATACACATTTTTTCAAAACAAAATGATGTACGTACCTAAGAGTGCTTTTACAAACTGAAAATGTTAATATAAATATTATTAATGATAATTAATCAAATAGAGATATTATTATTAACAGTTGACCATAGTGAAAATCCTTTTAAGAGTATTTATTTGTAAGACAGTGCTTTAAGGAAAATGACAAGGGAAACACTGATTTATTAAAAGGGATGATAACAATTTTAAGCAACTAAAAATACATCAAAATGTTTGAAATACTCTGATTGTGTGACATTTTCTTCATACTAGTTAGTGACTCTTGACCAGAGGAGCATATCAGAATCATCTGTGGCTTAAAAGCACCCTCAGCGGGTTCTGTGACCCAGTTTGAAACTTCTTTGACATCTGAAAGTAATAGAGTTGGGAAATATCCGATGACTCTGAGTGTAAGTTGTCAATCTTTGACAACATTCTATTGCAAATCCCTGCCTTTAAGTAAATCACATCCCTACTGTCTTAAAAGTCATATTGCTCTTGACACCTTTTCTAGAAGATACTTCTTCAGTTGGGCCAAATTGACACCCTAGGAGATTGAAGTATTTTACTGCTTTTCTGTTTACCTCTAAGATGAGCAGTGCCAATTAGGTGACCATATTTCCTGAACCACAATGCAGGACACATGATCTAAAGGCAGAACTGCATTTTAAATAAGGGCTGTAACAGCTCATTGATCATATGCTTATTATCACCTTGACCTTTCTTTTTACAGCAATCTGTGTACATTCAGCCATGTCAGGCCCTTAGCAGGGACTCTGTAATTGATTTTTGCTCTTACTTGATCATAATGGAGTTGAGAAATACTACCAGTGACCCTCCCAAACTCCTGCTCACACCCTGTCCATGTTGGGTTTCAAAACTCCTTTATCTGCCCTAGACCCCTGCTCTTTGCCGGGCTCCATTGTCCATATTCATCTAGGAGTTCTCTCCTCCTTTTTCTTCTTTGGCTTCCTCCATATGAGTTCCTAATTTTTTACCTAAAACCATTATAAGGCTATTCCAAACAATTAACTACATTAAACAAAGAAAACAAACAAAAAAAGAAATCAATCTTTCCTTGAAGCCAGGTCATTGCACAGGTTCTGTACTGTATTTACTCAGCTTCGTTGGCTATTTTTCTTAAAAGAATGAACTATACTTCCTTACCGTAAGTGTCTGTCTCGGCCTAAATGCACTCTGTTTTCTGTGTCCACAGACCTTGATAAACTGCTCACTTAGAAATGGCAGAGCCCTTCCAGTTGCCAGACCATGGGCCCTCTTGCAGGCCTCCTCATACTATACTGCTCTGCATTTGACAAAGTAGACCAGTAATTCCCAAATTTTAGAATGCACAAAAATCACCCGGAGTGCTTGCCAAATATGCACATGCCCTGGCCAAACCTTCAGAGGTTCTGATTCAGTAGGACTGGATTGGGGTCTAGGATTTTGTGTTTATAGGAGGCAAACCAGGTGAATCCGGTGCAGGTGTCCTTGAGAACACACTCTGACCAACACTTCCCTTTTGAAGCTTCCTGCCTTTAACTTTATGCTGCACTTTCCTGGTCTTCTTCTTTCCTTTCTGATTATTTTTTTTTAGTCTATTATTCCTACTTCTTTAGCAAGCCTTTTAAAATTCATTCTTCTTAGACCACACCTTCTCAGGAGGAAGTTCATCCATTCCCAGGGCTTCGGCTCTATGCGGACAATGCCTAGGCAGATGTTGTAAACTCCTTCCTCTCTTCTGGACCTTGAACTACATTTCTGTATGTTACTACCTGGTCTCTCAGGCTCATCATGTCCCAAACTTAATGTGGCATTAATCCGAGAACTCGCTCCTCTTCTACATACTCTAAGGCAGCAGCATCCAATTAGTCACCCGACTGGAAAACACATCATTTTTAACTCCACCTCACATGATGGCAATTCATGAATTTAGCAATTCCATCCTCACCTCTTTTCCTGCTGTGTTTCTAGTGTAGTCTTTTTTGGAAGCCACTGTGATGATTCCACTTACTTGACTCCTATGACATCCCCATTTCAAACTTACATACTCAGTATCAAAACTGACCTTATCAGTGCTCTGCTGATAAACCTTGGAGAAGGTCCACTGTGTCAGAAACTGCATACAAACCCATTCTTTCCTCCTTAGAGCATCTTTATAATCAAACTCCTGCCTACCCACCCTTCTTGTATTGCCTCACATATTCCTCTCTCTTCTGCTTCTCTTCCTCATCCTCCCTACCCCAACCCTCATTCTCCCTACCCCTACCCCTACCCCCTCAGCACTATGACACTAATTGACTTCAAAATCTCTGCATTTCCTCTTTCTGTTTCCTGGACCAGAAGCATTCCTCTTGGCTGACATCTGTCTCTCCAGAATGCAGCTCAAATGATCTCTTCATTTCCTTTTCATCAAAGTCAAAACTCATCAGTGGCAAGAATGAAACTTCAGTTGTCACTGTATTTTTGTTACCTGGAGCCATGTCTACCTAACACCATAAATATTTGTAGACGGAATAAAGAAATTAACAAATGGGGAGAGAATAAATGAATGAAGTCTTACCCAAATGTGGCCAGACAGAATTTATCACTCCTTGTTTATTAACCAGAGACTGGGTTCATTTCTTTAATCAGGTTCATACCACATTATGTTGCATTTCATTGTTTCCATGTCCAGATTTTCAGTCAGATTGTACATTTCGTAAGAGAAAGAAGTGAGTCTTGTTTATCTTTGTCTCTCGACATGTCACACATCACATATCCACAAATGATTGTTAGATAAATGACATTCTTAAAGAAAACATTTTTTTCCTGCTCCCTAGGAAAAAAAAATGGGAAAAGGCTCTCTTTTAAAGCATGCTATGTAGTGAATACTAATCTAGGCTTCAAAGGTAGAAAACTGGATCAGACCTTGGATCTGCTCTCTGTTGCCTATAACCCAGTAGGTCCTCAGTTACCTTTAATGTAATCTCTCACTGGTAATCTCTCACATTGATCGAGTGCATGTGATATCTCGCTGGTAGTTTATTTTATGTGTGCTTTCTTCTTTTAACGGAGTTCCTGTCACAAAGGTGCTGAAATAGAACTCAACGGGGCTGACGTCATGTTTGGTCAATATCAGAATCATTGCTGTGTAATCCGTTTGTTGACAATATGTTGAAAATATTTTTAAAAAGTTTTTTTCTCCTGGGTATTACTCATAGGAGTATAAATTATGTTAGTAATGAAAATAATCTTGTGGCAACCATGAGATATCTGTCACTATTATAGTATTATATTAAGAGTTGTGTGGCATGTCATATTCGCTAGTATTTATTGAATATTTGCTATGCACTGGGCACCCTACATTATTCAGCTTATATAAATCTCATGAGTACTGTTATATGCTATAAAATCCCCATTTTATAGATGAGGAAACAGAGACCCAGAGAGGTTGTGTAACCTGCACAGTGTCTCACAGCCAGCATGTGACTGAGCCAGGATGGACCAGGGCGGTTTGGCTTTAGACCCAGCGCTCGAGGCTGCATGTGAGGGAGACGTCAGAGGGGATCTTGCTGGAGCCGTTATGTTCATCCTCTCTGTCCGCAGGGTGAAGAAGCTGAAGGAGACCCTGGTGGCCGTGCAGCAGCTCGATAAGAACATGAGCAGCCTGAGGACTTGGCTCGCTCACATCGAGTCAGAGCTGGCCAAGCCGATAGTCTACGATTCCTGTAACTCGGAAGAAATACAGAGAAAGCTCAGTGAGCAGCAGGTAAGACCTAGAATTGAAGTGAAGTTAATAAGCTGTGGAATGCCTGTGCTCCTGGCCAGGGTGGCGGAGTGGGTATAAGATGGTGACTCTTGATGGAAGGTCAGTAGGAAGCTAAGCAGGACTGCTAAGGAAGGGGGGCTTTGTCTAGGTAGGCGTTTGGGGCGAATAGGTTCCACATCATCACAGAGTTGACTTAAATAGATGCTTGTGCCATCATAGGGCTGGTGTCATTGATCCATCAAGAAGTCATTCTAAGGTGGTAGGTCAAGTTGAGTTGCAATCATGTATCCAAAACAGTGTTGACAGATTCATTTATTTATTTGTGGCTCAGTAGCCCACTACCATAGACTTAGAAAGGAGCTCTTTTTTTCTGTGTATAGTGTTTGGTGCATGCTTAGAATTTTTGGAGTTTTAAAAAATTTTGTTTTGCTAGGAGGATTGCATGACCTGCAGACCACACACTTGTAATTTCACCTTAATGAGTGTAGCAAAGACAGCACGTCTCACTGGCATATAGTGTACGATCCAACAAAGCAAAAGACTACGACCCTAAAAAATGCAAACAGAAGATACTCTCAACTCCCACTCCCCTTGTTTATTCTTACTAAGTACATCAGACTCCAGTTGCCTGTAGTAAACACCATAAATTTACCAGTAGAAGTATTGTTATTCTAGGCTGAGTACAATGGCTCATGCTTGGGAGGCCGAGGTGGAAAAATTGCTTGAAGCCAGGAGTTCAAGACCAGCTTGAGCAATGCAGCAAGACCCTGTCTCTACAATTTTTTTTTTTAAAGTTAGCCCAAACGTGGTGGCACAGGCCTATTGTCCCAGCTATTTGGGAGGTTGAGGCGGAAGCATCACTTGAGCCTTGGAGTTTGAGCTATGATAATGCCACTGCACTCCAGCCTGGGGAGCAGAGTGAGCCCTTGTCTCAAGAAAGAAAGAAAGAAAGAGAGAAAGAGAGAGAGAGAGAGGAGAGAGGGGAGAGAGGGAGAGGAGGGAGGAGGAGGAAGAAGAAGGAAGGGAAGGAAGGAAGGAAGAAGGAAGGAAGGAAGGAAGGAGGAAGGAAGGAAGGAAAGAAAAAGAAAAGAAAGAAAAGAAAGAAAGAAAGAAAGAAAGAAAGAAAGAAAGAAAGAAAGAAAGAAAGAAAGAAAGAAAGAAAAAAGTGGTTTTGACTCCATGCCTTTAGATTGCCTTTGAATATTCTATCTGGACCCTGGTCCCTTCCATTACAATTAGGCCATTATAGCTAAGTTACTTAAAAGCTATAAAATGTAAGTAGCATCTGTTTTTAAATCCTATGAAATAGTTTACTTTATTTTACAGACTATTTAAGCCCATCAAATAAGTGTTAATATACACTTTTAAGTGTTAGGCTTTTTTGAAATATTAAAATTAGCATTTAAAAATTTTTATTTAAAATTGACACATAATTGTACATATTCATAGAGCACTATGTGATGTTACATTGTATGTATACATATTATAATAATTAAATTGGGTAATTCCCAATTTAATTACCCAAATTTTAAACATTTATCATTTCTTTGTGGTGACAACATTTGGAATTTTCTAATTATCTTGAAATATGTACTATGTTGCATTGCTTTTAAAGAAATTTTTGTTAGCCAGACATTTTTCAGGTTTTACGAAATTAACATTTTCTGATGGACACTAATGTTTGAAATTCTGACGCTTGAACTGTGGGGTCATGCTTGGCTTCCGGCTCCCCAAATTCTTGTGGTAAACATGGTAATGATGAGTGCAGTGATAAGAGTTAACATGCTGCTGGTCAATACTATAATTTAGCAAATGTATAAAAATCAAAAAAATATCTACTTAAATATGACAAATTGATCTTAAGAATTTATAGCCACACCTACTGCTAAAACTGCAATAAGATGATAGGGGGAAAAGGTCACAGCCACAATGGTAAAGATAACAGGAGAGAAAATGATAGAGATGATGGACATCCAGTGGAATTTTTGGAAGATAGAAAGTAGATAAGTCAGTGATGGTGTTAGCAGGATGGAGGGTGGAGAAAGTTGACTCATGCCACAGAGTTCTAAGCCTTAGAAATGGAGATCAGGTGAAGCTGAAAGTTAGGTTGTCTGCAGAGCTGTGTTATAAAATGGAAGACGGCTTGAAAGTCTAAATAAGGAGCACTACTGGCAGATGCCCCCCCTCAAGCCCAGGTAGCCAGGCTACTCTGCTTTCTTTTCCCTGGTAGAAGAACAGGGCATTGCTCTCTGGAGAAGGGAAACCAGAAAGACTTTAGGTCACCACCAAGGCTCGATTTTCTATATTAAAAATGGAGATGAAGTGAGTGCCTCTGGACTAAGAGGTGTGGCTCCCACCCCACGTACCCAGCTTGGTTCCCACGATGTCAGTAGCCAGGCTTGTATCGAGCCAGGAGATTGGAGCAGACCTCTCAGGAGAAACTGACCACTTGAGAGAAAATACCTTCAGGTAGTGAGACTTAAGGCAACCCTACAAAGAGCCAGACCTCTGCCTAGCTCAACCCAGTGAAGCCTCCTGGTTGGCAAGCTTTAGGGCCATGCACAGCATCCAATGGCTGACTCACTCCGAAATATGTGTGGAGAAGCAAGAATCCCCACCCCTTAAAGTTACTACCATTAAAGGAAAGACCGAAATAAATAGAGGGGATAAAACAGAAAGGAAGAATCTGAGAAAACACATTCTACAGAGAGGAAGAAAACTTAAAAAGAAAAAAAAGAGGAAACTCATAGAAATGAGAAATTTAACATTAATAAAATAATAGGATGCCTTTTTTTAAAAAAACAGTAGCTTTCATAATTAAGAGTATCTCCCACAAAATAAAACAAAAAGATAAATATATGAAAAATACGAGAGAAATATAATAAAGGATTAATGTGAGAGTTTCAAAACAATTCATTTCTTCCATAAAGGTCTCCCTCCCCACCAAAAAAGAATAAAGAAAATGGAGAGGAGGAAGTTGCCAATGTAAAAAAAAATTCCCAAATGAAAAACATACATTTTCAGGTCATAAGAGAGCCATATGAGTACCCAGAAAAATTTAAAACAAAGCAAAACCATCCGAGGGCACCGCATCATAAAATTGCAGAATATAAGGGATACAGAGATCTTAAAGGTTTCTAGGATGAAAAAATCCCGGACTCTCTGAAACAACACTGGAAGCTAGAAGACAATGCGTGCTACTTTCAAAAACCTGAGAAAAATATTTATACTTTAGAACTGTATACCCTGCCATTTAATACACAAAATGTTTACCTCAAATACACCCATTTTCAGGAACTAATGAAAAGTGTGCCACTTATACTGAAGACTAAAGGGAGGGTAAAAACACTATTCAATTCTAGAGAGAGAAAGAGGGAATTGCCAGGATGAAAATGAAGAAAAGTCCCCAGTGACAGCTGTCCTGCAGCCCAGCCAGCACCTGTCCGATTGGGAGCAGATGCCTGGGTGCTCTGGGAGGGACATTTCCAGGGCGGAAACAGGTGGACTAGAGTCCCTGATGGGCTTAACTCATCCTGCAGGGACTTTTATAAGTTCTGTAGGAGAGGGAATAGACATAAGCATTGTAAATTTGAGAGAAAAAGGATTGTTAATTCCAGAAAAACAAAAAGAAATAGAACCATATAGCATATTCTGTTCCTCAAATGTGAAAAATAATTTAATAACTATAGTCATGCAAGCAATGATTGTAGTAGTCTGAGGAAATGCAATGCCTTGTTTTTATCATCAGTTTTTATTTCTGTCCCACATTTAAACTTGCTTTTTGAGGAAGCTGCCCGTATCATACATGATATAGAAGCTAGGTCTCTTAAACTATGTTACACTTTTTAAAATTGATACATAGTATTTATACATATTCCTGGGGTACATGTCATATTTTATTACATGCATAGAGTGTGTAATGATCAAGTCAGTGTATTTGGGGTGTCCATCAGCTCAAGTATGTATCATTTCTATGTTTTGGGAACATTTCAAGTCATACAATACATTGTTGTTGCTTATAGTCACTGTCCTCTGCTATCGAACATTAGAACTTATTCCCTCTATCTACCTCTATGTTTGTATCTACTAACCAACCTCTCTTCACAGTCCCCACCCACACACCCTTCCCAGCTGTGGGTATCTATCATTCAACTCTTTACCTCCATGAGATCAACTTTTTAAACTCCCACGTAAGAGTGAGAACATGCGATATTTATTTTTTCTGCCTGGCTTATTTCACGTAACATAATGACCTCCAGTTCCATTTATGTTGCTGCAAATGACATAATTTTATTCTTTTTTCCTGGAGTTCAGTGGCAAATCATAGGTCCCTGCAGCCTCACACTGCTGGGCTCAAGTGATCCTCCTGCCTCATCCTCTAGGTAGCTGGGACTACAGGAATGTGCCACCATGCCCAGCTAATTTTTTTTTTTTTAGTTTTTTTGTAGAGATGGAGTCCTGATACATTGCTTAGGCTGGTGTCAAACTCCCGGTCTCAAGCAATCCTCCAGCCTCTCAAAGTGCTAGAAGTACAAGTGTAAGCCACCGTGCCCAGGCTAATTTTATTCCTTTTTATGGCCAAATAGTATTCCATTGTGTGTGTGTATGTGTGTGTGTGTGTACATATATATGTGTGTATATACACCACATTTTCTTGATCCATTCATCTCTTGATAATCATGTTACCTTTTAACAATGGTGAATTAAGTGTTTAAAACAGTTTGTAGATCTTTGGAGTGTAAATTCCAGTTCTTGAATGCCAACTTTTAGCCAGTACAGCCTGCCCTCTGTGTTCATGGTTGATTTAATCAACTGCAGATGGAAAATATTTGGGAAAAAATTGCTTCTGTACTGAACATGTATAGACTTTTTTCTTAAAATGTTCCACAACTGTTTATATAGCATTTACATTGTATTAGGTATTATAAGTTATCTGGAGATGATTTAAAGTATACAAGAGGATGTGCATAGATTATATGCAAATGCTACATTTGCTACCAGGGACCTGAGCATCGTGGATTTTGGTATCCATGGGAAGTCTTGGAACCAATCCCCTACAGATACTGAGAGATGACTATATTCTATGATTGATCATGTGATTGGTTGGAATGGAAGCAATGGATCTGTGTAGTAGAGTCTCGGGCAAGATTCATTCTTCATTTTTATTAAAGAAGCTGGTTTTATTCTTAGTGTATTCTAATTCATTTGTTCTGTCTATATTTTGGCATTGCTCACATAGCCAAAATATTTCTGGATCCATTTTCTCATACTTCTGAGCTTGCTGGATTTTGTAAATGATGCTCAAGAAGCTTCATGCATGCAAGCAAATGAAATATTTGTCAAGGTTTAGCCTAGCCATTTGTCAATGAGCACAGCTTCAGTTTCTCTCCTCTGTAGACATGTGATTTTTTAATAAAGCATGTTTCGTTCCCCTGCAGGAGCTTCAGAGAGACATAGAGAAGCACAGTACGGGCGTCGCCTCTGTTCTCAACCTGTGTGAAGTCCTGCTGCACGACTGTGACGCTTGTGCCACGGACGCCGAGTGTGACTCCATCCAGCAGGCGACAAGAAACCTGGACCGGCGGTGGAGAAATATCTGTGCTATGTCCATGGAAAGGAGGCTCAAGTAAGCTGGATGCTCAAACAGTTAGGGAAGAGAAAAGCCCAAAAAGAAAAGAAAAAATTACCCAGAGTATCCATTGTTCACTATTTCCTTTTGGTTACAATGTCCTGAAATAGCCTTGACTTCCCAAACTTGCTGTCATCTACAAGTAGCTGGGAAAATAAGTAGGTATAAAGACAATATATAAATACAATGAGCCAAGTTATGTCTGCCCTAACAGTTTGAATATAATATAGAAAAATTAAAATATTCCCTTGCCAAATATTCATTACAGAATTTGTGGCTGAGAAAAAGTAAAATTTTTTATTGAAAAGGAAATGATAAAAAGACATTATATTTAAAATATAATGTCTTTGAAATTTAAGGTGGCAAAAAGTCATGATGTATTACCAAATTATTATAATGACATAAAACACACTATCATTATGCTCTCTGGTGAACTCTTGAAAGCTTAATATTTGTCTTGTTGTCATAGGTTGACCTTTGTCAGGGTGAATCTGATGTTGGACTTAAATAGATTTTCAAGCCTCAGTTTTATTTCAGTGGAGCACCGTCCTGCAAGTATACTCTAGACGTGTTGTTGTATTTGTAAACTTCCTTGCACACATCCAGGACAGCTCACGTGATGTGCTTATGCTATTCAATTTGACTAATTCCAAATCCAGAGCCTTAGGACATGTTTGAAAAAAATTAAAAAAAAAAAAACAGCTGTTTTATTTTAGCTCAAACAGTTGTCTCTTTCTCTCTCTGGTCAGCTTGGCTCAAGGCACAGTTATTGTTTGGCACAACAGTTGTATGTTTGGGCACCCTTAATCCTGTGGCAGGCATCAGCAGGGTTCTGGAGTGTAGATAGTCTCAAATGATGAGAATCCGACTTTTCTGCTTTCTGTCTCAGAATTGAAGAGACCTGGCGGCTGTGGCAGAAGTTTCTGGATGACTATTCCCGTTTTGAAGATTGGCTGAAGATTTCAGAAAGGACAGCTGCTCTCCCCAGGTCTTCTGGGGTGATCTATATAGTTGCCAAGGAAGAACTAAAGACATTTGAGGTGATTTATAATTCCAAGTTTTTAATCCTTATTTTGCTATGAAAGTAGCCAGCTGGTCCTTGGTGTTCTAAGGCATAAATTAACTGTTTGCCTACAAACTAACTGTTCACATAGCTGGGTGAGGACTTTGTAGCCATCTTTATTATTGCCTCATAAGTAGGCAAAGAAGGGCAAAAAGAAAGGAGGTTTGTATCTTAATTTAAGATTATCAAGAATTAGAAATAATGTAATAATGATGAGAAATTCTATTAGGAAACAAGAATCATGATTCCCCCCCCCCAAATATATACATATATAAAATCATTGATAAAATAGAGTTGGCTCTATTTTACAGAATAAAACATTTTCCTTATAATCCATTTCTAATTTCACAACGAAGAGCAGTGCTGGTCTTGAGTCACCAAGGCTTTTCAATTACATGGAGACAAAAATAGCAGTGGTGTAATTGTACTCATAAAGAAAGGAATCATTCAATAATTGATTCTAGTTCCTCGCCTATTTGCACAATCTTGAGTCTACTCTATCACTGTGACACAATGAAACTCAGCTTCTCAGCTGCTGCTCATTTTCACAGAGGACCTGACAAAGCCCAAAGTTGACCATTTCTAAATTTGAAGGCTCTTCTTCCTTCAATTCCCACTGATAGGCAGATGTGTGTACTCACATATTGAGAGCAAACAGTTCGGATGCATTCTGATCATTCTTGGTTGCTAATTCTGCCTGAATTTCCTTAAGATGTTTAGAAATAAGACTAAAAATCCAACCAAATCCAGCTGGATTCATTTTTACCTTGCTGTATCAGATAACTAGGCATTTACTGGGGCTTGTTAGAAGAAACGTGGAGCTTGCTTTTTGTTCTTGTGGAGTTTGTAATCTGAGCTGTATGAATCTATAAAATGTTCAAATGTTACATGAAATAAATAAGAGTTTTTCTGAGGTCTGAATGGATTTATGTGTAACTATATCTCTTAATTCCAGAAAAAAAAATATGTTCCTATATAAAAGATTTTCCCTTAGAAAACTTCTAGTAAAAAGCCACAATAAACTTTGCAGTAGATTTCAGGTCATCTCAATGTGAGCCAGTACGAGTGGAAGTGCCACTCAGCTGCCTCTTATTACACTCAGCTTCATAAAGGTTAAAACCTTTTGTAATTGGCTTAGACTACAAAGCAGATTATATAAGATCCTTTCTGATGCTATTTTAGGCTCTCAGATTTTATGGGAAAAGTTAGCCATATAGTTAGCTTCTATAATGATTTATTTAGTCATTTGTCATTAATCTTGTAGTTAATTTTCTGAAGAGATAGAAATAAATCATAGAAACAAAGTTTTGCTTAAGGACAGTCTTCAGCTCATTCAGTTGAATGTTTGGGATGGGTCTGGATGTGCCGGGTGCTGGCCCGGGTACTGTACCCACTCCAGTGGGCAAACACATAGGTAACTTCCAGGAACAGCAAAATCTCAACTCTCTTTGCTGGGGAAATAACTTCCATCACTGGGGAAATAACTTAAAGTTTTATAGGCTAGAAGACAGGATTTATTAGGATTAAGGCTCTTAAAGCAACACTCAGAAGGAAAACCATTTAAGAGGCAGTAATGTGGTAGCATGTAAACAGTGTAATAAGCCAAGGAAAACAAAATTTGGGGATTTGATGAGTACAGTCCAATTGGTGAATTATAAAATTGTTGTCTAATACACGATAAAAATGTTATAAATCATATAAATGAGTTTGAGAAAAAAGAGCTTCATTTTATTTTGGCCAAATGATTCCTACGCTAGGGCTATTCTGTATTGCAGGGAGAAAGCAGAAAGAGTGTTTACCTTTAGAATCTCTAAACTGTGCTCAGGGCATGTGGGTATCTTCAAAAGTAGATGAACACAACCATATAGGGTGGTGCACTAGCTCCAACATGTTTTATAGAAACTGTGACTAATTCACAGGAACAATTTAAAAAGAAATAGAGCATATTCCAAACTTTTCAAAACGTAAAATTACTTATATTTTACTAAACTGCTTTTTTTAAAGTAAAGTTCATAATAGCTAACCTTTGGAGGGCTTTCTGCAAATGGTAGTTTTAAGTTTTTTCCTGATGGATAGCAGCAGAATTGAGGCAATTTCTAGATTTTTAGGAAACTACATGTTTTACAAATAAACAGTTCCATTATAGATGTCTTTTCTCAGTATTGACACCAGAAATATTGAACATTTCAAACACACATTTCAAAAATATACACACACACACATATGATTTTGTAATAGTTTGTTTTGTGGGGAAATTTGTTTCCCAGGCTGTTAATTATTTTAAAAACTATATTATATTTATATGCTTGTGTGTGTATATATGTGTGTATGCATTTATTTGCTACTATTCTCCATTTTCTTTCATATTTTTGATTAAACCTTTATTTTTCCTTAAGCTACGCCAATTAAATTACTTCGCTTCCATAAGGGGATCCGTACTGTCATTAGAAACTTTCCTTTCCCTCTGTCTGTGGTGGTGTCACTGCCCATTCTCCCGATGGGAGCTGATGTCCCATGCTAATATCCTTCTTTGTGGTCGTAGGCTTTCCAGCGACAGGTCCACGAGTGCCTGACCCAGCTGGAACTGATCAACAAGCAGTACCGCCGCCTGGCCAGAGAGAACCGCACCGACTCGGCGTGCAGCCTAAAACAGATGGTTCACGAAGGCAACCAGAGATGGGACAACCTGCAGAAGCGCGTCACCTCCATCTTGCGCAGACTCAAGGTTCTTATTACGCCTCACCTGTCATTTAGAGGCCCAGAGGACAGGATCGGGCCATTTTTGAACACAATGTTAAGACACCATCTTGGTGATTTTTGTAAGAGTGGGATGGCAGGGGGGTGTTGCAGGGGATGGGAAGTGGCAAAGGATTGCAGGGCTCTCGTTGCTTGTTGAGAAAATGGCTTTCCAGAGTAACATTGGAATTGGCTGTGCCGCGTCAATATGTTTATGTGGACTTTTTAATTTTTATTATTTGCCTCTCGTATCCAGCATTTTATTGGCCAGCGTGAGGAGTTCGAGACGGCGCGGGACAGCATTCTGGTCTGGCTCACAGAGATGGATCTGCAGCTCACTAACATCGAGCACTTTTCTGAGTGTGATGTTCAGGCTAAAATCAAGCAACTCAAGGTAACAGAAATATTTTTCAAATGATCAATGTGAAGAAAGTCTGAAAATGAAAGGATTTGTAGAGCTTTTTGTGAAGAATATAGTAAGGTCTTCTTTTAACAAATGAGTTCTTGGTTTGCCCCAAAATATTCAGAAAATAGAAGAGATATTAGAAATAAAGAGCATTACACAGGGATAAACAGCCACCATTTACATATATGCTTTTAATGATTAAACTTGATTGCCAGGGTGTTATGGATCGTCTTTTGTTATTGGGTTTGGATTTTTTTTATGAGTTGCATCTAGTGCCTTCAAATAGTTTGTTTGACCTCCATGTTCCAAAGCGATACAACTGTTTTTTCCTGATATTTCTACATATATTCTTCATTCTTAGATGACAAATTAATCGTAAATACATTTTGTATTTTTCACTATATAATTTAAACATAGTGGCTGGGTAGAAATTTGAATAGGAGGGATTTACATTAGATATAAGGATTTCCTAAAAAGGAGAATGTTTGACAACTTATTAATTTGCAAGGCAGCTTATGAAATTTTCTTCCCAAGATCTATGTTTTTGTTTTGTTTATGTGTTTTTTTGAGACAATCTGGCTCTGTTGCCCAGACTAGAGTGCCGTGGCGTCAGCCTAGCTCACTGCAGCCTCAAACTCCTGGGCTCAAGCAATCCTTCTGCCTCAGCCTCTGGAGTAGCTGGGACTACAGGCATGTACCACAACACCCACCTAATTTTTCTATTTTTAGTAGAGACAGGGTCTTGGTCCTGCTGAGGCTGGTCTCGAACTCCTGAACTCAAGCAATCCTCCTGCCTTAGCCTCCCAGAGTGCCAGGATTACAGGCGTGAGTTTGATGGGTTTTTTAAAAGAATAGTCAGGATTCCCATAACCTTTTGGTTGTTATAATAAAACAAGGAATTTGCCCTTAATCATAGATTCTCAGGAAGGAAGAAATCGTGAGATGGTAAATGCTGCTATTCTGCCAATGCCTCCCTTCCCTGTTCCCACTCTCCCGACATCTCTCAGGCAAATCAATATTTAAATCCTTCAACAGGAAGTTATTACCAAGTAGTAGTTGAACCTTATCCTTTTGGACTCTGGCAGGATCTGGGCACTTATCCCTACCCTCCCTGCTCCCCTGGCAATCTTTTTCACCATAGGCCAATTTAGAATTCTTCCAGAGTTTATTCTTGGATGGAATTAAAATTTACCACCTGAAACTCGTCCCCAGTGATTTAACTGTTTTGAAATGTATAGAATGAGTCGAAATAACCCTCCCAAAGCTCCCTGTTTTTCAAGTCATTTTAACTTTACCTGCTTATGTCTGGAAACAACAAAAGAATCATCTGAGAAGAATCCGTGGCGCCATCACCTGGATAGCTTCTCTCAGTCATGTTTGACATGTGATCAGGACATCTAAAGTTAAAATGTTTAGAATTTTTCTTTAAAATGCGAAATGTATTTCAGTGGCAGTTTACTGATTGCCTTTGCTTTCATCAGGGATAACCAGTGCCATCAACTTATGATGAGTTTGAATATTTTTTCCTGTTATTCCCCACACTCTGGACAAAATTTATGTAGCGCTAAATTTTATTAGCCAAAGGCTCTTCTCTGGTTATGAAATTCTGATGTTTCCACTCTGACTCCTATACTGGCTTAACGTATTTTTTTCATTACCACGAGATAATAGCCTCTTGGCTTGTCATTGCATATGGCAAATTAAATATCCCCCTCCATGGTATTTTTAATAAAATGAAAAATATGTATGATTATTTTATGTCAATCTGAACAACAACAACAACAACAAAAATCCCATGAGATTTGTTCTCCTTAGGCCTTCCAGCAGGAAATCTCACTGAACCACAATAAGATCGAGCAGATAATCGCCCAGGGAGAACAGCTGATAGAAAAGAGCGAGCCCTTGGACGCGGCCGTTATCGAGGAAGAGCTGGATGAGCTCCGGCGATACTGTCAGGAGGTCTTCGGGCGCGTGGAAAGATATCACAAGAAATTGATCCGCCTGCCTGTACGTAACATTGATTGTTCTCATCTTCTTTAAAGAGAATTAACTATGTGGGATTAGGCAGCACTGGACAGCAGGTGAGAGGGTCCTGCGTCGACGTCCTAGCGTTGACGTGCATTGGCTCTGCGACCTTGCGCAAGTGACTTCACCTTTCTTGCCTCAGTGTCCTCAACTGTAAACTGGTTTAACAACAGTAACTACTTTGTAGAAAGGATGGCGTTGAGCATTCGATGAGTTTATGTATAAAGAGTGTAGAAGAGTATTTGGCATATATCTTCTATGGAAGATAAAGAAGCCTCTAGAAGAAATAAGAAGGTGAATGTGAGCAATATAATTACTGCACAGTTGGTGAGGTTTAGGTTTAGGTGAATTTTTTCTTCTATTTTCCTCATTGCTATCATAATCACATCTCATCCATGGAGATATTATGAGAATATTTGGAATCTTCTGTGATCAACTATATTTAAAATCTGGGACGTAAAGTAAAAAGGACAAGCTGTAGTTTTATCGGTAATATCCTTTTGTTCCTGATATATGTCATTGCGTAGCTGTCATATTGCAGGCACAGTACTAGGTTGCCTTTCTTTACATATTACCTTACTTAATCTTACATCAATTCTTTGAAGTAGGTTTTAATATTATTCCCATTTTACCAGTAATGAAACTGAGGCTTACGTAGGTAGATTAATTTATAAGATGTTTTTAAACGTGATCAAAAGGTTCTCATTTGCTCATAGGAAGTTTACAAGTATCCCCACATGGTAGACAGGTGGCCCAGGTAAGCTGGGCTGCTGAGATTTGCTGAGAGGTGGAACCATTGCAATAACGAGGTTGGCTTGACTTCCCTTCCAGCTCACAGACGATGAGCACGACCTCTCGGACAGGGAGCTGGAGCTGGAAGACTCTGCGGCTCTGTCGGACCTGCACTGGCACGACCGCTCTGCAGACAGCATGCTCTCCCCGCAGCCCTCCTCCAACCCCTCGCTCGCCCAGCCCCTGCGCAGCGAGCGCTCGGGGCGAGACACCCCCGCCAGCGTGGACTCCATCCCCCTGGAGTGGGACCATGACTACGACCTCAGTCGGGACCTGGAGTCTGCAGTGTCCAGAACGCTGCCCTCTGAGGACGAAGAGGGTCAGGAGGACAAAGATTTCTACCTCAGGGGAGCCGTTGGCTTATCAGGTAGGAAAGAGCCTTTCCTGTACGTATGCCGGCTCACAGGAAAACGCGAGGGAATTACCACTGCCCTGGGAGCGTGTCCGCAGTTCAGAATCATCTTCTTCTCCCTTCAGGGAAATTGCACCTAAGCACGCAATTGGATATTAACGTGTTACTAAATGCAAAAGTCGGCACGGCCGTTGATTTATTCCACTGATTTACATTTAGAGTGCTAGCTGACGAGCTCTTTGCTAAGTACTAGAGACACACAGTTCCTTTTCTTCTCAAAGAGCTCGCACTCTAGCGTGGGCCACAGGTAAGGAAATAAGAAACGACTGTGTGAGCTGTTTGGTGCCAGGATAGCCATGCACGTGTGGTTGGTGGCGTAGGGGCACAAGGGGGACTAACCGGGAGCTCTGGGGAGGCTTCAGAGAAGACACTGCTGAGCTGAGACCAGAAGGATGAATTGCAGTTGGTCAGGTGGGCACAGCAATGTCCAGAGGAAGAGAGGAGAGGAGCCCTCCCTGTGTAGTGATTGGTCTTGCTGCTTTGGGTCATCTAAGTTTTACCCAGAGTGACCAGACTATTCACTGGGCAGCTTGGAGTGAACAAAGTAGAGACAGGAAAGGCAAATAAGGCCCTGGTCATAAAGCAGCCTGTTCATCATGGAAAGGAGTTTGGCTTTTACCCTGAAGGCACTGGGGAGCCACAGCAGGATCTATAGGGGGAGGGGATGAGATCAGATACATTTTTGCATGTTGTATCTGTCTAGATACTATAGAGAGGAGAGCATATTGGGGGAGAGAGTCCAAATGAAACATTTTATAATCTGAGACAGAGGTAGGATGATGGCCTGAACTAAGGAAGCAGCACAGGGAATGGAGAGTATGGAAGAGATGTGAGAAATCATGAGGAGACTCCTCCATAGGAGAAGATTGATTGAATTGGGATGGAGGAGGTTTTCTGGCTTGGGCATCTTGGTGAAAGAGGCAGATGGTCTCAGGCCCTGAGGACCACAGAGGGAGGGCGCGTTGTGGTGAAGCTGGGCAAGGGAGGCAGGGCTGCGAGACAGGGGAGGTGATGAGTTTGGCCGTGTGCATCCTGATTTTGAGATGCCTGTAGAATATGCAAGTGCAGACTCCCAGCAGTAGATGCGTAGGGCTAAAGTTCAGGACCTGGACATGCAAATCAGGTAGTTAATCCACATGCCAGTGGTGATTGGCATGGAGCCAACAGAGGAGATCCCACAGGAAGAGTATATAGAGGTGACCAACAGAGGAGATCCCACAGGAAGAGTATATAGAGATGACCGAGGAGGACCAAAACACAGGCAACACATATAGCGAAGGGACAGCCAAAGAAACGGGAACAAGGAAGGGGAGTGCAAATAGAATCAATAGCTGGAGGCCAATTCCTGGCATCTCGTACATTCTCTGAAAAGCCATCTGGGATAATTTCTGTTTGTTTCTGATGGTTCACATCTGGACTCCCGAGAGATGACACTGCCCTAAAAATAAAATGATGCCTCTCATTTCTATGTTGTCTTTACAGTAGAGTCTATCAGTCAGGCATCTGGCACCCGAAGCAGCACTGTCCAATATGTTGCCACTGGCCACAGGGGATTGTCAGCGCTTAAAGGTGACCGGGCCAGTTGAGAAGGGCTGTGTGTGGAAAATGCACTTACAGCAATACATGAATTTCAAAGGCTTAGTACAAAGAAAAAAAACCATGAAATATTAATATTTGTGTTGATTACATGTTATAAATAGGGTATATATCTGTTTAGTAAAATATAGTATTAAAAGTAATTTTGTAGGTTTCTTACCATTTTCTAATGTGTCTGTTAACCCTTTGACATCACGTATGCGGTTTGCATGGAAATGTACGGGGCAGTGCTGCTCTGCAGCCTGGCTGTCTGGGTTGAAATCCCAGTTCTGCCGCTTACTGGATGTTTAAACTTGGATAAGTAACTTGATTCCTCTGGACTCCAGTTTTCTTATCTATAAAAAAAACAAATAAAAATGGGAATAACACTCCAGGCACCCTGTATGGTTTCCGTGAGGATAAATAAGTGATTATGCTAGTGCCTGGTCATAAAACACTCTCAACGACCCAGAGCTCTCACTATAATTCATTTCAGGAAAGCTTCGGTGAGCATACTCACACACTCCTTCCTCTGTGTGCTCCAGAGCTATGTTTCTAGGACGACTAACTTCCTTTCTTCCCTAGGAAAGTTATTTTCCTGCCTCAAGGGAGCCGAGATTTCCAGAACTTAGCTGTCAACTTAGACTGTGCTCTTTTTGCAGATGTAACCATCCCCGAAAGCCCCGAGGCCTATGTAAAACTCACAGAAAATGCAATCAAAAATACCGCTGGTAGGCACAGAAAGCGGGAGCAGTCCTCCCTCCCTCCCTCACCTGTAACAAGCCTCCTCTCTTAGCACACCTGCTGGGTCTCTCACAGCTTTGTGGCTCGAGCATGTCCAGGCACACCCTTCCTCTCTCACTGCTGTGCTAGAGGAAACATCTGATCAACGCCAAGCAAAAGATTTCACTCATCAAGTGAAATGAAATAACTTCTCAACTTGTACATGGTAACTGGTCTCACTAAGTATAGACCCCTGATGCCCATTAGCAGCAGACGCTATGAGAGGGAAAGCCCAGTCTCCACCCTCTGTGCCCTCCCGTCCTGCTTGGCTGTGGTAGCGACAGCTTTCCTGGGCTGCAGAACCTACCTGTGGCTGGGGGCAATCAGGACACGGTTCTGTCCCTAAGTCCACCCGTCCGCACAAGTGACCTCGGGCTCCCCCACTGCGTCATTCTCCTCATCTCAGGGAGCCCGTGTAAGACGGGGGTGAGACCCGATTTCAGCTCCAAAAAGGCATCCAATTTTAATTTAAGAAGTCTTATCTCATGCAAATAATTTTTTTTTGAGAAATGTATTCCACAGTATCTTGAGCCTCAGGTCTTCTTTTAAGGACAGAACCATTCCTAAAACAAGAAAAATTAAAGAAAGGAAAACGGAAGCAGTTTTGCTTAGTGTTGCACTAGACAAACTTAGTTCCGAGTCAGTGATTTGGGGGAGGGTGGAGAGAATAGAGTTTGCACACAGTGATAGGATGTTGAATCATGGAGTTACTAGTTTACACTTCAGTTTTTTGAAGACAAGCATCAGGGCAGAAAAAAAAGTAGCATTACTGGGAGGATGATTTTCTGAGTGAATCCTAGTGAGAGACCTCTTCTAGGTGTATTTCAAAGGCTTTTTTTTTCCAAAATAAATTTAATAAAGCTTACTAATATTTGTTCTGCTTTCTCCCTGTGCTAGCTCCGCTCCACTCTGATGATCAATGTTCTGTTCAGTTCAAAGACTTTAATACACACACACTATAATTTTGCAAGGAAGTGTTACAACTCTGAGAGAATGAGCCAGGCATTCTAGGCTGTGGGGAAGAGCCTACGTAGATGGAAATGCTAAAATGTTAGCTTTCTCCTGGTTTTGTTTCAGATTTTAGATAAAAGCAAGTCATTGATAGTTTGACATTAATATCTCCATACATATCTCCTCTGTGCTACTCTTTTCTTGGTTAATTTGAATTCATGCTTTAATTTGAATGATTAACCATGAATTCATGGTTAATTTGAATGATGCAGCAGCTGGGCCTTGAGGGGCACTGTTGTCTTCTGAGGTGCACAAAGGAAAATCAGAGAGTGTATCTTCCTCTGCTCGCTAAGTGAAGAGCATGAGAAACAACTGCCTCCTCCTGACAGGGACGCAGCAGAGACCACTGCAGATTTTTAGAAAGGCCTTCCAGGATTAACAACATTGGCATTATCAGGAGGATCCGCTGGAAGGGGGAGCAGATGCACAGGGCTGTTCAGAGGGGAGTGGTAAGAGCCTTTTGCAACGCCCTGTCTGCTAGGGCTCATAGTCAAGCACATTCATCAGCTTGGCCACTTAAGTGTCTAACCCACCAGCGCGATGGTACTAAGACAGCACTAAATTGGCTTTATATTTACCCCCACACACGCCATTTCTATGCTGCTGTACCTGAAATCATTTCTGAAACTTCTCCTTGACTGTCATGCTCGAAATAAATCAAACACTACGGCCGCTAAAGATTGTTGTGCTTGACACCGCAGGGGATCACAGTGCCTTAGAGTCACACATGCGACAACTGGGCAAAGCCCTGGATGATAGCCGATTTCAGATGCAGCAAACCGAAAATATCATCCGAAGCAAAACTCCCACGGGGCCGGAGCTGGACACCAGCTACAAAGGCTACGTGAGTACCCCGAGCACCCTGCTCCTGACCTGTCCCTGGAAATCACAGTTCTGTGACAAGGAACAGTCCATCTGCAGCACGAGGGCTTTATGAAGTCTCTGAACACCATGCTGCCCTTGAACTCGTGGACGTGGATGTGCAAAACAAAACCCTGTTATTAAGTTACCTTTTGAGTGGAACTGGGCTGTTTTTAGGTCCACGAACCTGTTGTTATGACCAGCCTGTTCCTTCACACTGAGCACTTAGGAAGATCCTTTTAATGGAAAGCAAAAAAAAAAAAAGTTTTGGCTCTCAAAAGTCATTAGGCATGTTTTCAAATTCAACTAATGATTTTTGAACCAAGGTTATCCTTGGAGCAGCAGATTCTAGCTAATAGATTACTAACGTGCACTTTTTTAAAGTTCATTCTCTGGGCTTATTGATTCGTTTAATGACCTTGGGAATTTTTTATCTTCTGTTCTTAGTATGCTCATTCTGGAGAAAACAATTCTGACTAACAAGAGGGATTTGGGGAAAAGCTAGCAAGGCATTGTGTATATTACCAGTTCTATTTATGCAGCTATAGGCTATGTATCCTGAGGTCTATCATAACATTACTGGCCCTCCTCAAGTTACTCTCCAAATAATTTTTTCCAAAGAACTACCTGTTTTGCTACACATACTTAAGGAAGAGAATTTTAAAGTAAATCTCTTTTCTGCCTCAGTCTTTTTCACACCCAAAGGACTGCTTAGTAAAATGAAAGAAAAATTAATTTCCTTATGTCTAATCACAACTCACACATGCTACTTTTTGAAACCAGAGAAAAGAACTGCCCTAGCCATATAGATTGATTTCATGATCCTCACAATTACAGAAGAGTAATCAATCATGAGCTATTTTTTGCCCAGTTTGGCTTATTATACCAACTTCTATTATAATGAAGCCTCTTTTTTTTATGTTCTTTTGAAGATTCACAACATGAACCTTTTTTTTTAATTTCAGAATATTATGGGGGGGACAAATGTTTAGGTTACATATACCACCTTTGCCCTGCACGAGTCCAAGCTACTAATGTTGTTTTATGATGATCATGCTGACATCACTGGGATTACACTTAACCTCAATCAAAAGTAATCAGAGTAACTTAATAGCATTGTGATTTATTAAAGGCTTTGCAACCTTTGAGCCATAAAGTTCAGTATAACAGGAGTACCTCAAAATGATTTGTTCTTTCAATTTTTGAATACTGTGCATGATATTAAAAATGGATTTGGAAACTTTTTCTTTTTGATTTGAAAATTTAGTCCCTTGATACCTGTTAAACATTGCTTGAGTTTCTTCATAAAAACCAGCTGGCTTTGATATTGCCTTATATTCTTAAGTATTTTAATTATTTAATGCAAAAATGTTCCCATGGAATTTGTGGTACTATTGTCTTTCCCACATTTCAGTTTCAGAAAGAAGAAGAGAGAACAACTTGCCAAAAAAGTGTAGACTACATTGCCACCTGAGAGCTCTGAGTATAGATTTAAGTCCCAGATTGGTTTAATCTGTTTTGATTCATGAATTTAAAGGGCTTCTCATGCAAAATTATGCGTGCAAAGTATGTCTTTCAGGCATCACTTTTTGTAATCGTGAATGTTTCACCTGTTTAAAAAGCATTTTTTTGAACTTTGCTTGTAGTAGAGTGTCACAGAGAAGTAAAACAGCCACTTCTCTTGCTCAGAAACTACAAAGATAGATTCCCAGAGACTCTTGCCCTCATGAGCAATTTGGTGACAGGGGTCTGTTTTTTATGTGTAAACAGATGAAACTCCTGGGTGAATGCAGTGGCAGTATAGACACAGTGAGGAGATTGGAACACAAACTGAAGGAGGAAGAAGAGAGCCTTCCTGGCTTTGTTAACCTGCATAGCACCGAGACCCAAACAGCTGGTGAGTCCTGGTGTTCAGTTCAAGAAAGAGTGAAATGGGAAATCCTGACGCACTTCATTGTAGTCAATTTCCACTAGCCTGCTTGGCCTCCTACACTGTTCTGTCTGAGACCTTCTCTCCCAGTTATAATGATCTCCTCTGACAGGAGAGGAAGGTAAAGAGTGCCTTCCCTGGTAGTTTATTCCCTTGTTTCATTTATTTGAATGCACTGTCTTTAATGTGTCTAGTCAGGCATTTTATATGTGTGTGCTCAGAGTCCTATTGCAGAAAGAAACCAAGACCTGAATGACACCCTCGTGCACATGACTACTCCTTACTGCGTGGAACTCTTGACAGAGTTAAATCTCACTTAGCTGGTTTTTTTAGTCTATTATCATGAAAAAATGCAAATAGGAAAAACACAGTCATATCATATCGTACTCATGTAAGTGTTATTTCCAGACGACAATAGCAGAAATGCCCAGTGGAATTATTTTTTTCCAGTTGCCATTTAAAGTCAGCCACTAACGTATGTTTGAAGGATTTCCTAAGCCTCGTCTGTGGAGCATGCCCCGTCACCATTCTGTGCATGTCCTGGCAGGCGTCATTGACCGGTGGGAGCTTATCCAGGCCCAGGCCCTGAGCAAGGAGCTGAGGATGAAGCAGAGCCTCCAGAAGTGGCAGCAGTTCAATGCGGACCTGAGCAACATCTGGGCCTGGCTGGGGGACACGGAGGAGGAACTGGAGAGGCTCCGGCGCCTGGAGCTCAGCACTGACATCCAGACCATCGAGCGCCAAATCCAAAAGCTCAAGGTAGCTGCCCTTCCACCTTGCAAATAATTTAATGAGTTGGTATTTTAAGAAATGGCCATTAAAGCTTCTTCTTGAAATATCCAGGCACCTCTAGGACCTGTTTAACCTCTTCATAAGGGAAATACAGATCTGACCAGGGTCTTCAAGTCTATAGCTAGCGCAGGAGAGAAATCCTTTCCAAGATCATATCTGCAGGAATTAGTGGGAGACCAGATGAAATCATTTGACCTTCTCCAACGAGTGAAACTTCTGAAATTGGTTACAGTAGTGGCAGAAGCAATTTTTTGCTGTAGTAAATGTAACAAAAAACTGTAACTGTGGTGAAACACCTTACTTTAACATTTGGTTTTGGTTTGGCCTGGGTGGGTATGGTACATGAGATAAATTCCCTTAACTCCGGCTCTAGACCTTAAAAATCCTCCTTAATGCAGCTACTAAAGTGCATTAGTGTGTGGAGACTGTTGTGAGCATCTTGTGGAGTGAGCGCTCAGGTTCTCTTTGAAACCCCTTAGGGCCTGTTTTATTGTTAGAACATTAAGATGTGCTCGTCCTCTGGGTTCAGGGATTAAGTGTGTGCTGCTTTTATGTTACTATGGTTTTGGTATATGCTATTTATTTGGGGTTGATGTGTTTGTGGCTTGCTTTCTGTGGTTGTGTTGTTTTAAATTTTCAAACAGAGAAATGAATCTTCCCCATAGATGCTCCAAAAGCAGCAGCCCTGTAAGTTTTAGGACAAGGTACCACTGGATGGGAGATGTAATTTACAATATCTGCATTATGAAATACATTTTTCTCTAGAGTCCCTAAGTTACTCTAATAAGGCAGTGTTGTATTATAACCAAATTCCTTAAAATTGATGAAGCAAATGCTGGCCAGGGTCTGAGACTTCAGCCAGATTAGGGCAGAGAAATATGATCTTGAAAGTCAGCCTGCCTGATAAGAAAAACTCACCTTCCTCTGCACCCCTCCCTGATCTTTCATATGTATGTTTTCTGTGAATAAATCTGTAAAATAACCAAGAATTTTCTGCAATATCTCTTGATCTTATGATGTCTCCATGATTGAGTCTATAACACAGCATGTTAAAAACCTATTGACAGGTGAAAAATTAAGACAAGTTGGGAACATAACAGGACAAGTGAGATATTGTAAGAAAATGAAGCCTGGGTAGGTGTGGTTTCCAAGATTATTCACCATAACCAGATCCAAGGATATTTAACAGTACCCAGGTATTCAACGTTAATACAGAATCATGTGCTCAAGTTCTTAGAATTGAGTTCTGGATTTTTTTGGAACTGCACAAAGCCCAAAATCAGTTGCCTGCTTTTTTGTGAACTCAAACTAAAATGGTTAGCTCATGAAATACCCAATTCATTCTCTTTACCATCACAAAAATGTGGCCTGTTGCACAGGCAGCGTTCTCAGCCTGTGGGTCACTGTGCCTGCAGATCCAGAACATCCGGAACCCAGGGCTCTGGAATCTTGTTTTTTAGCAAGCTCACCACTTCCTCTGTAGGCACATAAGTTTGAGCACCGCTAGTCTAGTGAACTGGAATTATTACACTAGGGGGAAAAAATACAGGTGTCCTGCTGCTCAAAATCATCAAAGCCAGGTTTTTGTTTTGTTTCACTGTGTTTGAACCTCCATGCAGGGAGTTGCATTCATGACACTGCTTAGTTAGTTCATTGCACAGCATCATTTCTGTTTCCTAAAAGACTCCCCTTCACTTTCTTTATCCTTCCCCCTCACCTATTGCTGTTTTTCAATTGCCATTCCTCAAACCCATGGCAACCATTCTGAAATATTTAATGGGCATTCATTGTTCATAGGTATTCTTTAAAAATATGGATTTGTGTGTGTGTGCGTGTGCATGTATGGATGCTGTTGCATTCCACACACCATTCTGTTTCTGACTTTTTCACTCCACACCATGTTTTCTTAAGATCCATCTATGTTGTCAAGTGCTTGTCCAATCTATTTCTTCCAGATGCAGCCTAGTTCTCAGTGGTGTACACCCACCGTCTTCTACCTAGCCATCCCATTAAGGACAGTTTTAATTAATGGATCTTTGCATTCTAGTAAAACATTTTAAAGGATTTAGGGTACCTTTTTTTAATGTTATGACATGTTTATTTCTCCACTGGGCCCTAATAGGCCAAGTACAGAAATGCAGCAATAACAGGCAAATGTAAGCATGCTTTCTGAGAAATGTATTCCTAATCTGTGAATGGAAGAAGTTGACAAAGAAACACATTTTAAACTACTTTTGTAAAACATGCTTTTGTCATTTTTGTTCTTGTACGATTTTTTTGTTTGTTTGTTTGTTTGTTTGTTTTTCTCTCTCTCTCTTTTCAGGAGCTCCAGAAAGCTGTGGACCACCGCAAAGCCATCATCCTCTCCATCAATCTGTGCAGCCCCGAGTTCACCCAGGCCGACAGCGAGGAGAGCCGGGACCTGCAGGACCGCTTGTCCCAGATGAACGGGCGCTGGGACCGGGTGTGCTGTCTGCTGGAGGAGTGGCGGGGCCTGCTGCAGGACGCGCTGATGCAGTGCCAGGTCCGTGGGGCTGTAGGCCGGAGGTGACTGAGAGCCCAGCATCAGCTGAGTCTGTGACTCGAGGTAGCACGGTTTCTTGAGGGATGCAGTCTTCCCCACAGTCCGTATCTGAGTGAGACGACTTTGTGCCCAAACTTTTCATTTTGCTGGAGGAATTGTACGTGTGATCAGGCTTCAAAGCCTTCCATCTTCTTTCCAGCTAAGAAAAGGCTATTCCCCAAGTTTATCTCAGTCCCGACATTCCTCCAATGACTCATTTATTTCATTCATTCAGTAAGTAGCTACTGGGCACATAGGCAGGCATTTCGTGAACATTAAAGTGAGCATTACAAATATGCTCATACCATAGTTATTTGCTGAGTGTCCACCATGTGGCAGCTACAGTGCAAAGCCGTTGGATACAGCACAGCCTGTACTTTTGTGGGGGAAGACAATAAAATGCAAGTAAATAGTTCACCATGCTACCTACAGACGTCGTTGGTGAGAGTAACTGAGAAAAGCCACTTTGGGAGGGTGGTCAGGGAGTTCCGTGGGTCTTAAGCTGACTCTGGGAGGATGTTACTATGAAGGAGATGCAACAAATGGGAAGTCCCAGAAGCAGGAAAGGATTTAGTGTCTTTAAGAACAGAAAAGAGACCAGTGTGACCAGAGCGTAGTCAGCAAGGCAGGCAGTAATGGAAAAGACGGGGGAGGTGGTCAGGAACCTGATCACAGAGGAGTCAGGATCATATTCTAAGCATGATGGGAAAATCTTGAAGGATTTGAAGCCTGCTCTTCAGATTTATATGAATATGTGTCCCAAGAGTAACAGCTACTTGAGAGCAGGTACCCAAGCAATTTTTTCACCTCTGCACTGCAGTGCCTTACACAATAGGAGATCTTTAGTAGCTTTATGTTGACTAAATGAATGAATGGATGGATGGATGGATGGATGGATGGATGGATGGATGGATGGATGAAGGGGACATGGGATTGGACCTAGCCCTTAAAAGATGGAAAGATTTAAATACATGGAGAAGAGAGGGGAGCAGAGTTGCTTCCTTCTAAACTGCATAATAACATTACTCTTTTCTCAGAAATATAGTATTTTGATGACAATTTTCCTTATGTCTAAATTTTCCCCCAAGTAGTAAATTAGGTGGCTTTGGTAAAAACGTAAACTCACGAGCAGGTCTTTATAACAGCACCAGTGCCTTCCTCAAAAAGGAGTTGTATGTGTGACCTCAAAACCAATGTATGTTTGCAAATGGTAGCAATTGGAAAGAATAGAAATTTAAGCTGTAAGGGAAAGGAAAATAAATTACCCACAGCTGTTTTAAACTCCATATGTTTTTTTTTTTTTTTTTTGTAGGATTTCCATGAAGTGAGCCATGGTTTGCTTCTCATGCTGGAGAACATCGACAGAAGGAAAAACGAAATTGTCCCTGTTGATTCTAACCTTGATGCGGAGATACTCCAGGACCATCACAGACAGCTTGTGGTAAGATGTGTGCACTCTGGCAGCTGCAGTTATTTTTAGCAGGGTTGCATTTCACTTGTGTAAAATGAATAGAGACGTAATTTTTTTTCCTTTTGTGTTATAGTCTCTATTTTACACTTTTAAAAAACTCCTTATGGTTTCCAATGTTTGTGAAGCAAACATGTGCATAGAAGATGGCATCTGCTAGCTTTAGGGCTTGTTTTAAGTCATTGCTCAGTTGTAAAAATCAGATGTTCTTAATCTTAATTACCTTGTCTTTATTGAGGCAGCTTTTTTTGTGAATTACACTTATTTTTAATTTAAACTGTATATGTTGTATCTATGTCCCCAAAGTATATTTGGAGGTTTATAGTAAAAGGACATTAAAACTATTAGAATAAAGAGACAATTAAGTATTTTTAAGAGGAATTAATTATACCAGATTAAACATGAACCTTACTGCCAGGTTTTCTTTTTTGTTTGTTTGTTTGAGACAGAGTTTCACTCTCACTTTGTTGCCGAGGACGGAGTGCCGTGGTGTCAACCTAGCTCACAGCAACCTCAAATTCCTGGGCTCAAGTGATCCTCCTGCCTCAGCCTCCCGAGTAGCTGGGACTACAGGCATGCACTATCACGCCTGGCTAACTTTTTCTATTTTTTGTGGAGACGAGGTCTCACTCTTGCTTGGGCTGGTCTCAAAATCCTTAGCTCAAGCAATCCTCCCACCTGGGTCTCTCAGAGTGCTAGGATTACAGGCGTGAGCCACTGTACCCAGCCTTAGTGCCAAGTTTTCTGAAGCTATGACAAAAAGGGAAACATGATAAGTTAACTCATTTTCATTATCTGACAAATAGAAAACATTCCAGTTCTCGGGAGTAAAAAACTTTTTCTAGCACTAAATTCAAAAGGAAATTTACTGTGTAGATTCTTATCTAAGGATCTTTGGATGGTATAATGTACAGTGTATTTAAGTGATTTTATAAAAGATAAGGAAGCATATTTGAGTTCCATTAGGAGAAAATGCTGTGCATTTTGTAGCTTTCTGTGTTTTTAAAATGTCCTTTCTTAACATTTAATACTCACTAATGTAAGCTATAGAATTGGTACCTTTTAACTGAGTACCGGAAGGGTCTTAGAAACCTAGAGGAAATAGCCATGCAACTGCATTTTTCCTTGACATTGACCTCTGGCATTAAGTTGTGAATGATGAACCACGCTAAATCTTTCTTCAAATCTTGACTAGATTTCAAAGGACACTAATACATACTTGAGTTTTGCTATACTTAAATATTAATGTTTTACTTTTCTATATAAAAAATATCTCATATCTCACATAATGCTCTATATTTTAAGTACTTTCGTATACCTTAACCAATTGAACCTTCTAATAATACTTAACTGTGGACGAGGCATCAAATGAGAAAACTGAGATCAGAGAGGATCGGGGTCTTATAGAATATTTTTGACAGGGGCAGGAATAGAACATAGGCTACAGGCTGCTGCATCCTTTAATGCATGAATGCCACATGCACAAGTTCAGGTGTTATAACTGCCCACTAAGTTACAGCGATGCCATTCTACACTTTCGGAACCTAGGCCAATTACCAAAAATTCTTAGAAAAATATTTCTTATTATATACATAGCAAATACGGCGTGAACTGTTGGAATCCCAGCTCAAAGTGACCTCATTGCAAGACATGTCTTGCCAACTTCTGGTGAATGCTGAAGGCACAGACTGTTTAGAAGCCAAAGAAAAAGTCCATGTTATTGGAAATAGGCTCAAACTTCTGTTGAAGGAAGTCAGTCGTCATATCAAGGACCTGGAGAAGTTATTAGACATGTCAAGCAGTCAGCAGGTAAGCTCTAAACAAATGTCATTGTGTAGCATTTCTTACAGGAGACAAGAGAAGCATCATCTTCATCCATTTCAGAAAGACTTTGAATGTAGTACTTGTCAGAATGGAGTATCTACTCTGAATCACCACTCTAAGTAGTCCTATCTCAACATAAAAAAAGCAGACTCAAACTTTTACAGTAGGACACTACTTTTGATTCTGTTAATTCCAAACGATCTCTTGTAATTCTTACTGCTCACCCTGTTACCACCAGTACTGTGTCATTTTATTTCACTCTGTCTATTTAAAAATTCATACATTTTCAGCCACATAGCCATGGTAGAGCAAACTATTACAATTGCTACCTATGGGTTTTGCATTCAACACCTCTAATGCATGAATATGCCTTATGTATATAGTAGTGAATTTATTTTAAAAATCCTCTATTCATTTATTTTTATGTTTTTATTAAATCTATTGCATCATGATATTATTGTTAATTTTGAGAAATGCTTTTGCAGGCACAGCAGTGCTTGGTAAGACTTCAAACATACGATTATGAAAGCCTGTCATGAATACACACTTTGCCCTTCTGTGTGCATGCAAAAGAACAATCCACTGTGAATAGCAGTAGTGCCAGAAATAACACGATTTCTCTGCTGCTAAAAGGCAGACTCTTGGATGACTATCTTTTGTTTCTGAGTCAAATGAATTGGTTTCTCTCCAGCCTGAACGACCTGCAGCTGTAAGGCAAACTTCTTCCTCCTCCCAAGCCGATGTCAACTCATTTACTTCCACGTCACTAGGAAATAATAAAGCTATAAGTGAAACATAGCAGTAACAAAGCCATAGTTGTATTTTCCAGAAGGGCCAAACTTACAACCTGGAAATCCCAATACACTAGGGGAATTAGGTCCTGTTCTTCTTGGAGCTGTCTGATTCCAGTTTTCCTAAGGCATGGTTTGCTGTTTATGGCGGGGACGTGGGGCTGGATGGAGGTGCAGTGGGAAACACATCGTGCGTGACAGAGCCGCATGGCTCTGGGACAGGGAGTTGTTAAAAGAATCTTCTCCCATGTAGGATTTGTCCTCCTGGTCTTCTGCTGATGAGCTGGACACCTCGGGATCTGTGAGCCCTGCGTCGGGAAGAAGCACCCCAAACAGACAGAAAACGGTAACTTGGCACTGGTTGTTTTCAGTTGTCCCGGGGGAGGGAACACAGGAGCGACAGTATTTGTACCGACCGCAGGGTCCACAGGCTCTCGTCCCGCCCCGCAGTGGTCCCCAGACGGAAGAGGGCTGTCACACAGGGTAGGGCGCCTCCTTGGCCCTGCTGCGTGCGTGCCCTGCCAGCATGCGCTCAGGAATGGAAAATAGCAGTTCTGTTTTTCAAAAGAAGCAGGACTCAACGTGTGGCTGGTATGCAGGGAAAGCAATTATTTTTTTTTGTTCAAATGGCCATTTCTACAATGGTGCTCATTTGCCCCTTTGGTGGCTCCTTCAAACCACCCACTGCCATGTCCACGCTAAAAATGCAGGCCGCCGCTTAGAGCAGTGGCTCCTCCGGAGGTGGACAGACACGCGACGTCCTTGAGACTGCTGAATGGACGGCACGGTGGAAGTTCTGTTGACTCTAAAGCAAAGAAGCTTCTGAGTGGTGGTCCTGAAGGATTTTGGCTATTGTGCTGCCCCTAAAGTGGCAACAACCCAAGCCAATTCCCCACAGGCCTGTGGTGGGGGCTGCCTCACTGGGACACAATGAGAAAGAGACGACAAGTTTGACCCCTGCTGCTCTCTATACCTTGATTTCTCTGTGTAATTAGAAGCTTGTTTTTTGTTTTCTGGTTTTTGTTTCTGGTTTTTTTTTTTTTTTTTTTTGGTCTGGCTTTATGATTATATTCATTCCATTTCCCCTTAGTTCGTAGAAGGACTGATTTCATTTGTGCATTTTTGTTATAAGCACGTTCTATGCTGATAAACGTATTATCTCTTCTAGGATTGTTTTTTACTACATTCGCTAGTTTCCTATAGATCCTAGTTTAAGAATGTGAAGGAATACTGGCTTTTCAAGTCAAATTTTAGCTTTTCTTTAGCTTGAATATTTAACTTGTTGCATTTCATCACTACAAAGAAGAATCTTCTGTTACCATTGTTGTTTTTTATCTGTGGGGAATTTTAATACTGTTTCAGTGTTCTAAAAGGTGAAAAAATACATAAAGCATCTTTGAAATACATGATATGACATAGTGAATTTTATATTTATTATAAGTAAATGCAGAGACTCTTGAGTAGTGTACAGTGACTTGAGTTTCTACTATGAAAAGTGGGAGGCCATGTGCCCACCATGGTATGGGCTCCAGAACCAACCACAACTTGCGATTTTTTTCAATGCCTAATCATATGGATGTAAATTTTACTTCTTCAACAAAAGAAAAGCCAGTTTCCTTAATTTGTGGGTACTGATCATTTCATTTGATTTATTTTTCCTTTGCTGCACTTTTAGTTTAATTTTCATTAGTAGCTTGTCTTTATTTGCCTGGACTGAACATTCTTCTTTCTTTACCCCCTGTTCATTGCAAACAGCCACGAGGCAAGTGTAGTCTCCCACAGCCTGGACCCTCTGTCAGCAGTCCACATAGCAGGTACCTCGTTCTCCTGGTTTCCACACTGTTCTAGAACTGTAAGAGGATGATGAAAATTGTCCATCATTTAGGCAGGCCTGTATCTGGTCTGCCTCAAGGTAGTTGGGAAATTGTTCATTTCAGTCCACACCCTTTCCTGAGAAATTGGAAGAGACGTTTCTAAATGGAAAGTACGAGTCAATCTCAGAACATAAAAATGTTTGGACCCCACCAAAATTTTGTTTAGCCACACATAGCCCATCTGGCACTTTTCATCAAATGGTATTTTCCTTGTCAATAAGGATTCGGTACAACTGGTGGCACAGCTGCCAATGGACTCACGGCAGACTTTTATCATCCTCTTTATTTCTAGATTTTACAATAAGACAGGTAATAATAGATCAATGAATTATTTTACCACTCACAGAACCCACACATCTGAATAAAATATACTAACATCCCCAGCTTTTTGTTTTATTTTCATGTTTTATCCAGATTGTGGGTTTTGGATTCTCAAAACAGCAAGCCCTAATTTGGTGTTCTTCACTGAAAAATCTATAAACACCTCTCTTCTGCTTATCCTAAAAACTCTTCAGCCAGCACACTGGGCCACTCACTTTCCTAACCCTTGGCAAGCGCTTTCACTCTGGAACCAACAGCAGTCAGTGCCCCCGCCCGGCCACCTCCCCAGAGCCCACTCACAGCTGCCACTCTGCTCTGCGCCTTGCCTCCGGCCGCCCCTCCTCCCTGCAGTGAGCAGTGCTTTGCCTTCTTTGTTGTTGGTGTGGTGTCTGTGCCTCTCTGCCCTTCCACCAATCAGTCCATGTTTCCCCAGACAACTTCCTTAAAAATGAAAACACTGTCCTCCTAGCTGGTTTTGCGTTCCAATCCCTAGCAGTTCCCTGTTAAAGTAGTCCGCCCCTCTGGAAACTTATCACCGTGAGCAGGAATCTAAATTCCTGGAAGGAGGGTGGGGATGAGGAAATGTAGAACTGTAAACAACCCCTGAGTAATAGTTTTAGTTTTCCAGCTGTGTGCTGAAGGGACTTGCTCTTTTATTTGGTCCTTCCCACTCAGCTGAAGTCCTGCAGAATGTATTTTAATATGCTTTCTGGTTTTAAGCCTCCTTTCACTATGGTTTTTTTTTGTTTTGTTTTTTTGTTTTTTTCTGTTACCCTTTGGTTTAGTTTGAAGGCAATTTTGTGTTGTTGTTTTTTTTTTTTATCCTTATCAAAATAGCAATAATGAAATATTGAGAAAAACTCACAGGGCTTTGGAAGCTAGTGATAAACATCTGCAGATGCTCTGATGTTGTCTCAGCCCTTATAAGAAAAGACAGTGGTGGACTGTAGAGAGATCCCTGTGTTATGCAGTCCATCTTTCCCCGACAAATTGCTGATGTGCAGTGAACAGAGACAGAATATCCCCCTAGCTTCCTTTTGAGGGTACCAGAGATCAATTCTTTGGTTGATGCAAATGATGATGTTGAGAAAGGAAATAGCCTTTATGTTATTATGCAATACCCATAGCAATCACCCTTAGGTTCCCAAATATTGCATTGATCTACTCCACCAGTTATTTCAGACAGCCACACAGATCTTTTGAAAACATCAAGGGCAGGCATTGTTTCTTAGGGCAGCAAGTGCTTTCATGTGCCTCCTAACAGGGCTTTGTGATGGGGACAGCCACGTTCTCACTGCGACACCCCCCGAGCGCCTTTCAGCTCTGCTCTGTCCCGCACTGTTGATTAACATTTTTCTGAGCATTTAGCACAGTGTTCACTTTGCTACTCAAGTGTGAATGGAATAGAAATAATCTTCACCTGAATGGCAAACTTCCTCAAACACCTTGGCAGTCAGGTCGTGGTTGAACATTCGTGGGCTTCCTTACTCCTTGGCACTGCTGTTTGGGGCGCACCCAACTCCGACAGTGAATGGCAGAGTCTGCTGGGGAAGAATGAACTTCACCCACAGACCAGGCCGTCATGGTGTTCCTTTACTTTGAGACTCGAGATATCTTGTGTTTGATCTTGCACTGGTCCAGCAAATTTGAAAGGTTATTGCAGAAGCACAAATGGTTTAGAATGTTGCCCCCAGCAGTCTGCAATGGGAAAACTTTGGACATGTATTCTTCCTGGAAGAAGAGGCTGAGTTGGAAGAAACTGAGTATTAGTTTGAAGGGAGGGCTACTTATAAGTTTTTTCATCATTTAAAGTCAGATGTTAATAATTTACTAGCCTGATGCATATTTCAGTTTGATTTGATAGAGTTGATTCTGTGTCCTCATATAATGTTCTAAACCTACATATGGAGTGATGCCAGCAGTTACTGAACATCTAGTCTGTTTAGGCCCTGGGCCTACAAAATGTGATTCCTGCCATTAAAAGGCTTGCAGTGTATCAGAATCTAGAGAGTCCCTACATCATTATAAGGAGCTCCCTAGCACTTCTTAAAATTCCATGCATACATTCATAATCACTGTCTTCATTATTTTTGTTTGAGATTAAACATATTTTAGAAGCATATTTTCAAAGCAATGTGTGTGATGGTCCAGCTGGTACCTTTTTCCTACATCTGACTTAAAATTTTCTAGCCCTGTTGCTAATAATTCTGCAAAACTCTACTGTAGCTGAGTTAAAGATGACAAGTAGGAAGATTTTACTCCAATTTCCAAAAATACAAAGGAACAATTGCTCTGGAGTCCAGACACTGTGAAATGATGAGTTCCTTCTAAAGCTCAGAACTGTAAAATGCAGAATTGCCCTAACACCTTTGGTCTCTGGCACCTTCTTTACAGAAAACTAAGAATAAATGGGATGTGGCAAATGACTGGCTGAAACACTGAGAGGGAGGGAGAAAGACCTCATTGTAAAACTTGTTCAAGGTGGTCACATATATTTAAGTAAGTGCAGTGGGTTTTTCGCATATACACTAGGGTCTCACTATAAATACTATTCAGTTTCTTGTGGAATTTGTTTTCAAGTCTTTTCTGACCCTGGGGACCTATTTTTTTCAAGGCAGTCAAAGAGCCCCAGCACAAAGCAGTCTCCCCCGTTAGGCAGGTTGGCTGCCCATGCCCTGAGCACAGCCATGGGGTCACTGTCCTGTGGGCTTCCCCTTCAGTATTTGAGGTGGGCCTTCCCTGTGTTCCTTTGGGAACAAGTCAGGCAGTTAGAGAAAGTCATCACATTTTTGAAAGAACCATGCATAAAGCAGGTATGTTTTCCTGAGAGAAGAGGCAGAATCCAGCCAACCCCCAGCACACCCTTAGTACAAGTATACAGATAATACTGACAAGTTGCTGGCATTTATTTAGTAGTTAATGTATCCCAAGCACCATGCTAGGTGTTGTATATGTGTTATCTCATTTAACCTTCACAAGAACCCCATAATATGGCTACCTTCCCCAATTTATAGACAAGGACACTGGGTATTAGAGGGATAAAGATGTAGGATCTGAACCAGGTCACCACCTGACGCTGGGCCCTTCCTGGTTAACCACACCACTCTACTAAAGGGCTCTTGGTGGGTAGGATGCTTCCAACACCAGCTCCAGGGCAGGGGCCACCCCAGGCTGCCTGAAGTAGCTTAGGACTAGCCAGGATGTTTTTTGGTTTAGAATAAGAGGAGTCTGGAGCCCTAACTTGATTCTGGAAACTTGTCTTCTGAACCGCAGGTCCAGGAAACACTGGGTTTCAAAGACAGTTCACATAAGAGCAGGCAACAAGATTGTGGACAACCGAGACATTTCCCCACAATAAATTCCTGTTACGCACTGCCAGTGTTTGCCAACAAGTAACAAAGTGAATTGAAACTTTCTTTTCATTTGGCTTTTAGGAAGCATGCACAAAATTAACTCATTTTATTTTCCTTGATTATGTAAAAATTTTAAAGTGAGTCACACTCTATGTGCATGGTATTCAGACTCCTCACATCTGTTTGTCAAATACAGTTTCCTTTGTGGGATGGGTTGTTAGATACTGCTACCTCCCATCATCTTCCTTCCTCCCATCATCCTTCCCCCACAACTGTATGTGATTTGGGGACAGATATGAAATGACTCCTGGGCAATTATTTACCCAGAAGTTTGAAGGAATGAGGAGAGAAAAAAATAAATATTCAAAATATATATACAAAAAATATATTGTACAAAATAAGCACATTTTTTCCCTGAACAGAATTATATATCTCCCTTGATTAAGTTCCTTAATTAAGTTCATACATTTAATATTTTTTATGTAAATAATCTACACTGGCATCCGTTTATGTCAGTACAAGAATAAGGCCAGTAAAGAATGACCACTGACTAGTCAACAAGTTGCCTCTGTTGTTTCCCTTGGCAAATGTCCCAATACTCTTAAAACTTAGGTGATTTTAGATCAATAGATAAATACTAAAAGTACCCTTTAGCCTAAGATCATTAACTAGTTGGTACTATTAATAAAATCTCTAGACAGGTTCACCCTGAAGAAGAGGCAACTTTGGGCATGTTGAAACTCTGGTAGTTACCCCTGGAGGGTGGGCGTTTTTCTCAGTAGATAGATTGGACGTTTTCAAGGTCAGTTAACTGCATGGATGGTCACTAAGCACTGCGTGTTCCCTTTGTCCCTAACTGAGTCCACTACTTCTCCCTAGGTTGGCATTCTTCAACATTAGAAGTCATTCGCAAATTAAATTTTAATTAAAGAGTGCTCTGATGCTGTTAAATGTGCCATGTCCTTTAACAGACTCTCTAACGTATGAGCCCATATTCCAAACATGGTGACCTTTCTAGTTTTTCTCAGGAATAAGCTAGTTCAATATGCAGCCCTTGTTTTGATCTTGATCTTTAACCAAATTGCTCAAAGAAGCTAATAATTGACAAAGAAGGACCATTTAGCTCTGTCATATTATATTATCAATGATATGCATAAATCTGCCCATCACTAATTTCCTAATGAAAATTAGTTAGATATTTAATAAAGAGGAAATGTGGAACTCTCCTCCATCGTTCTGTTATAACTCAGCTACAGGTGGTGAGTGTTTTTTGCCAAGACATATTTTCAAGTCAAGAGAAGGATATATTGAAGAAAAATTCAATCCAGAGTTTGTGGGTAGTCCCATCCTTCTCAAGGCACTTTAAGGCAAACCATTGAATCTTAATCTGTCAGAGCCAAAACAATTTTAGGCTATCCATGCACCCCTCATCATTGTAAATGAGAAAACTGAAGGTCAGAGCAACTAATTTATTGGCCCATGATTATACAGCTGACTCAAAACAAAATGTCCTCATGTCCATACACTAATTTGATGATGTGTGTGACACTATGAGGCTTCATGACTAGAAGCATTTATTTCAGACACGAAGTAACCCCTTGCTTCCACATGTTTTAAGATGTAAGTGCAATATTCTCTTCTTTGCTTCTGTATGGGAGGTGCCTGTGACATAAACATGAGCTGCATGGTCATCATTCATGTCACCAACCAGCAACACATTGCAGAGCAGACAGTGTGGTGGGCAGGGATTTTGGAATCCTGAATTCCTTCTAGATCTCTTCCTTTAATTGCGGGATTTAGGGCAAGTCCTTTGACTCTATGTACAGAGTCCAGGTTTTAGTAGTTGAAATGACAGGGTTGAAATCGAAGTTCTCCCACCTGCTAGCTGTGTAGACTTGAGCCAGTTATTTTTACTTCTCTGAGCCTCCTCTTCATCATCTATAAAATGAAGATAATAAGCACACACCTCAGAGAAATGTTTTGAGGGTTAAATGGTAGAAGCCAAGGTAAATGCTTGGAGTGTTGCTTAGCAATTAGAAGAATAAACGTTGACTATCCTTAGATACTTATCTACAAAATTAGGAAATGGATGAGGTGCTCTCTAAGGCCCTATCTATACTTGAATATTTTATACTCAGGTAACTCAAGAAGTTTCTCTTTTCCCTTGCATTAATAATATGTCTGACATATTTATTTTATGTTCTGTATTTTCACAAATGTACATTTTTGTTTTCCTTTTCAGCTTATCAGAGAATAACCCATCAGTCTTAGCATCAGGGCAGTTAATCAGTTTGACCACTAGATGGTGATTGAACTCTTGTGGCTTCTGGGTTGGGAGACTATTTATACTGACAAATTAGTAGAAGACAGAAAACATATAAAACATGGAACTTAAAAGTTGGAAGACCCATCTATTCTAATGTGAAGAGGTTAACGAGGAGGTTGGCACACAGAGGTGAAGTGAGTGATTCAAGGTTACGCTGTCATTGGTTGTGGACTTCAGAAAAGAGCACAGTTCCAAATGAGGCCAGTGATTTATTTTTTCATTACACTACAAGAAGGGTACGAGAAACCTGGCGTGGTGCAGGCTGCTTTGGGTTTTTGCAGAATCACTCTGTTTGTCTCCCGTGTTTCTTTGATGGTTTAAGAAAAGAGTTTTGAGTAGTCCCTCTGTTCCCTTTTAAGGAGATTATATCTAGTTTTTATTTTAACATTTATTTTCTTTGGTGCCACCCTCTCCCCCACTGATAATAGGGTAATATGTCTTCAGAAATTAACAGCTAATAAGGGAGCTACAAACATACTGTTTTCTTACCAGCCAAACCTACAGTTACCAATACAGTTTTTATATCTTCATATTTTTCCAATGGGCTCACATTTTAACATCCTTTTTCTTAGTGATACGAAAACCATTAGGGAATTAATACTAGGTGTGTGGGAATGTGTCCCCTTGGTATATCTATTCTTTTTTGCTCATTCAGTGTTGTCTGGATGTGAGTGTACACAGAATGCCTCTTGTAAATAACATTTCTTATTCATCTTCTCCACTCGTAACGAAACATTAATGGCTGTTCACAAAAAGAAAACAGTGGCACCCAACTCAGAACCTACTAAATCGTATTCAGTAGTCCACAGGCAGTCTTTCTTAGGAATTCTGAAATCTATGCTTAATCTCTAATGCACTGTTTAAAAGGAAGATAAAGGTGAGATAGAAAAACTTGGAACTTTGAGTCTAGATGGGGCTTCAAGATAACAATCTGTCCTCCTCAGAAAAATTTTCCAAAGTCACAGAGCTAGGGACAGCATTAGCCTAGAATCTCTGTCACCCAACACCACTGTTCTGTAGCAAACTCCATTTATTCCTTCATCCAGCTTTGGAACCCAGTAATGTCAGGGCCAGGTGCTGATTCAGTGCAAGATGAAACCATGGTAAACTCTAAGATTAATTAAGCTTTTGTGGGTCTGTGCAAAATGATTACGATCCTTTTTATTCTTGCTACATGGATTTCGGCACATCCAGGATGGCTAAATGGAATACTTTGTATAATCCTGACAGCAACTAATTTGCCTAACAATATTTCTGATATTCTTAAACCTAATATGTACTACATCAAACTTTTGTATTTTAATTATCTTGGAAATACTTAATTTATGATGGTAGAATATGTGTAAAGCAGTTATCTTTGTTGATGAAAAATGTTTCAGCAAATTAAGGGATAAGAAGAGTGGGATTTGAACCGAATTAGTGATTTTTCATCAGTGCAGTTTCCAACAACTTCATTTGGTGGTGGGGCGGGACCTGGGTGTCCCACGGGAGGCTGGCAGCTAACTCCCAGGGTGGGTTGTGCTTGGCATGGCCCTTAGCTTCCAGGAAGGTGCAGAAGCAAAAAGCAGCATCCAGCCAGCCAGCAGTTGAGTTATTCGAGTTATTTATGTCGCTTCTCCTCTCAGGTCCACAAAAGGTGGCTCCGATTCCTCCCTTTCTGAGCCTCAACCAGCTCGGTCGGGCCGAGCCTTCCTGTTGAGAGTCCTCCGAGCGGCTCTTCCCCTTCAGCTTCTCCTGCTGCTCCTCATCGGGCTGGCCTGCCTCGTACCCATGTCGGAGGAGGACTACAGCTGCGCCCTCTCCAACAACTTTGCCCGGTCATTCCACCCCATGCTCAGATACACTAACGGCCCTCCCCCGCTCTGAACCAAGCAGCCGCCATCTGCAAGACGAACCTGCAGACGTGCTGGGAGTCTTGGGTGGATTGGGCCAAAAGCAGTCCCAAACCGTCATCAGGAGGACCTTGATCTTGGCAGAAGCCCCTGGCGTGGCAGCTTCAGCCCTCCTCCACATCCTGTGTGTGGAGATCCTGGCTTCCGAGGTGGAGGACCAACAATAACAGGAGGGCAGGCAGATCACAGAAGGTTTGGAAGGAATTTGGTTTGAGACTCTCTCTGAGCCTTGGCTCTAAAGAGGTTGAGTAAGGACCTCCAAAATTCCCTGGACTCATGAATTCTGGGCCTTTGGTCCATTCTCTGCATAGCCAAGGACTTCAGTAGACCATCGGGCAGCTTTCCCATGGTGCTGCTCCATTTATCCAATAAACGACCCTCTCAAGCGCCATGTCAGTATCGTACAATCTACCCACCCACCAGTGCTGGAGAGATTTTAGAACCTTGTAACATACAGTTTTTAAGAGCTTATACGGCAGCCTCCTTTTTACCTTATTTTCCTCTTGGGCATGATGTTCTAACCTTTGCTTTAGAAGCACAACCTGTAAATCTAAAAAGGCACTTTTTTAAAAGGTATAAAGAGAAACTAGATGTAATAAATAATATCATAGAAGGCTTTATGTGAAAAAAGTTGAATGTTATAGTAAAAAAGAGATATTTATGTATGTACAGTTTGCTAAAGCCAAGTTTTGTTTGTATTGATTTATTTGCATTTATTATAGATACTGTAAAATATTTTGTCTGTGCTTTTTTCCCCCTAAACGAATGACTCTAAATTTCACTGTTAAGCTGGGACTGATCAAAATGCAACCTATCTTTTTCTTGTGTATGTGTGTGTATGTGTGTGTGCGTGTGGTGGAATGAATGAAGCTGGAATGTACATATATATTAAAAGAACAGGGTGATTAGAGATAGTCCATAGTTAGGCACAGATGACCCTAGAACCGATGATTCGTTTTTCTCTCTTCCTTCCACGGCTAATCAGGTCTCAGGAATTCCTGCTTCCTGGCATTTTTCACACGCTCTTTTCAATTCCCTTTGCACAGTTGGAAGAGCCTCCTAGGATCTCCTGTCAGAGGCCCCTTCTCATTCCATCCTAAGAGTATACAACAGCCACGCCCATCTTCTTAAAGCACACATCTGTTCAGATCCCTTCTTTGCTGCAATGCTTTCTGTTGTTGTCTACCAGATAAATACAATTTTAGTCTATCATTCAAGTCTAAATACAGTAAGATTTCATTTTGTGCCTCTGATCTTGCCAACTAGTGGCCTTCGTGAAATTATTTGATGCTCATGGCATTTTAATCCATCATTTAATATAATAATTGAGCAGGTATATAAAACGCAGGTTTCAGGCTTCTCTAGAAAATAGAAACCTCTGATGCCCTGAGCACATATCCCTTCCTGGCAGTAATTATTAGAGCTAATTGATTGGTTCCTGTCCCTTTAAGAATAAGAAGAGACAGTTTTTCCATTTGCACTACTACCTTATCAACTTCTCTTGTCGTTTGTGTCAGCCTAGCCCCTGGAAGTATTTGAGTTTACAAATCCTGCTCTAAATCAAGTGCTTAAACCAAATAGAGGTGTGTAAAGTGGCCTGAAACTGCCTTGCTGGGTTTCCTTGATGCACTGAGCCTGGGTCCATCCCCACTGGGGTTCCTGAGGCTCATTAAGCTTTCCGATTCCCATGCTCACTTCAGACCTTCCGATTCGACCTCTGAGGTAGGGCCTGGGAGCTTGCATTTTAAACAGATGCCTGTGGTGGCTTTATCCCTCCTAACTGTTCAAAGCGCTGCCCTGTACTTCCTGAACTCCGTCTTCCTGTCGTTACCATTCCTCCTCTCCTCCCTCACCAGACTCGGCTCACAAACCATCTCCTTGTTGAAGAGTTTCCTGATCATTTTTAAATGCTATTTAAGACTTCTACTACTCTGCTTTCTACCATCAGATTATTCTTGCCTTCTGGCCTCTGTAATCGCTCTCAGGGAACCAGGATGGAGGTTGTTACTTCATGGAGAACAGCCCTTTGTTTAAGATGTCCCATCGTCCTGCTTCCGGAGAGGCTGTGAGCAGTGGCGGCAGTTGGAGTTGAAGGGCGCCCTGCACCCCCATCTGAGATGGGTCACCCTTCAGGCGACCCTCCATGGGTCACCCTCCTCCCTCACTTCCTGCTCCCGACCCCTGCAAGTAGAGGTCCCGCCTCCATATTGTTTTTGTGACAGAATCCACAGCAGCGTAAGGAGGTGACAGTCGTGGAAGAGGCAGAGAGGTTTCTCAGGCGTTTCTTCTCCATATCACACGTCCCTGACTTCCTAGGCATCTCCTGTCACTGAAGAATCAAATGGTAAATGTTGCTGAGGGAAAAAAAAAATGTGATTTTTCATTAAGAAAAATTTAAGAGTCCCGTCCCACATGTGCCGTCCTAAAACCCTGTGAGACACCCAAGCGGTGCAGGATGTCCATTTCCATTGACTGTTTTGAAGACTTAGCAGAATGGTGGAACAGAAAAGGAGTTGGGAGCCCCAGTGAGCGTAAACGCTGAAGCCAGGAGGCCACGGCTGTGCCAGATGATCGTTTGACCAGGCTAGCAAGGGCCTCGCCAGCCTCTACCCAGAGCCCTCACACTCCCCCGTGCCGTGGCGGGGGCGGCGGGAAGGCGGTCACATCAGGGGCGTCCACACGTGCACCCAGCAGCTGCCCTGGCAGCAGAGAAGATGTGTTCCTCAAAGGCTTCATGGGAGGGGTGGGGGTTTACGAAAGAATATTAAAGGACAGGAATGGCTACTGATGGCTGTGTGGCCTGGAGAGGGGGCATAGTGTCCCAAGGAGAGCCGGGTGAGGAAGGCACAGACAGAGACCCTCAACTGACCGGGAAGGGCGGGGAAGGGAAGGATCATAACGTGTTGGTAATGAGGTTGGCACAAGCAAACAGGAAATGTTAGTAAAGGTGAACAGAGAAAGAATCTTTAAAGCTAAGATGGAGAAATAAAGGGTTAGGAACTGAAAGCAGTGACTTAATAAGAAATCCAGGGAGGAATGAAAGGTTTTCTGGGAAAACGATGCCTGAGAAGCAGGAATGTGCCTCCGGGCAAATGGGGCTGCAGCAGTAGCTTCCCTTGTTTTTGTCAGAAGTGAGAAGAGGCGACCTCAAATGGCTTGGTGGGAAATTCAGCAGGCTGAGGGCAGAGATTTACTGTGAGAAAGACAGACTGAGGCAAACTGATGGATAGTCTGTATCGTGGGAGCAAATATTAACAAATTGTAGCTACCAAATTTAACTGACAAGCCATATCAGAGATAGTCCAGCAAAGAACAGTGACACAAGCTATTCCCTCCCAGGGAAGCAGGGCCTGGGAGGGCTGGGCTGGGTGGGCCCGGGAGTGGCCCAGCCATTGGGTTCTTTGCTCTATGCAAACAGTTCCCCAGCACGGTTGTCAAACAGCCATAAGTAATCCTTCAGAAATTAATCCTGCGGAACATGTGCCCAGTAGGTCCAGAAACGCCTGGTGAGAGCAGCATCCACTCACCTCAAGGTGTTTACCGAATGCCCGCTATGTGGCAGGCGCTGCTCCAAGCTCGGCGAAAGAGTCAAGGCCCACTGGGACCTCACAACTTCTTGTTTTAAGACTCAGGGAAAGCAGTCATGACCGGGCCTTTGACAAAGAGAAGCAGCCGAGTTTCCCTGCACCAGTCAATTCCTGAAGCGGAATTGGAATAAAGGCAAACGAGGACACTAGAAAGGAACCCAATAAATGCAGTATCTAATTCAGGCCGGAGAGGGAGATGAAGGCTATCAGATCTGTATTTCCTGTGAGCAAATCTCTCCTTTTGGCTTCTTGCTCTCCCGCTTTATGCTACAGTGAGATGCGTTTTTGAAGAGTAAGGGCGTTCGTCTGTGGAAATGGAGGCAAGTGGAGTGGTTTACAAGCGTGGAGGCAATTTTCCACTCTTCAGGTGCAGCAGCAGGAGTCAATTTGGGTGATAAGAGGAGGTGTTTTACGGAGAGTGGTCATTTCAATTTTAGATTTAATAGTACGTCGGGATAACTGTGGCTGATTATCAAAGCTTAAGTAACCCAGGCCTAATGGAATTGAAAAGGAAGGACTTTTATTCTTCAGTTCCTAGCTTCTCACTAACCTTTCCTTCAGAGCTTTAAAATATCCATCAGGAATCCAATGGGAACCACCACAGAGAGGCCTAAATTTGGCGGGGGCGGGGGTGGGGAGATCCTCATTCTGATGAATAAGTGCAAGAACGAGATGAATCAGGGACATTTCCCATCCCTCTACTAAGCAGCCTCCTGCAGCCTAAGGAGGCTGGAGAGTTGAGTGACTAATGAAAAGCAGGGTGATGTGCTATAACACAAGCTGACAGTGAGGAACATTTAATCTGGGGAGCTGAGCAAGCCGGTGAGGGCTTGGATGTAATCTAACATATGAAGGCCATGGAAAAAGGAATCAGGCTTGTGAATTTTTTAACCTGTTACCTAAAAAGGAGTGGGAACATAACTGAATTTGAACACCCCAATTAATTATATCAGGAGGAAAAAATCTACAGATGACTACATCTTATGCCTTAGGTGGTTGAAAAGAAATCCCAATCTACCTGTGGAATATTGACATCAGGGCCTGGCAGATGTGTGTTCTGGGCTTAGGCCTACATCCTGGGGGACACATTTTTGAGGCAGTTATTGGGCTCAGAAAATGAAGGTGTCAAGCACCTGCCAGCATTAATAGCAGTTTTGGGCAGCCAACCCCAAACCACATTTTTTGGCAGGAAGCCCTCACAGCCCACCTCCACACTCTGCCCCACAGCAACCTGTGCAATGTATAGGTTGACCAGAAACTGTAGGGCTGCAAGTAGCCAGTGGCTTTCAAAGTGTGGCATCAGTATCACCTGTGATTGGAAGCATCACCACCACTTGGAAACCTGTTAGGAGTGCAGCACATTCAGCCCTGGGACTGAGCTTCTAGGCTATCACCTGCTCCAGATTTCCCCATTGTAGAGCCCTTTAATTCTCTCCAGTTAGTGGTCATGGCCAGCAACTTTCCCCTTCCCTCCCCACCACCTCACAACGTGGGCTTCACCAAACGGTAGGTTTCCATATAAATCTAGATGTTTATCCTGGATGCTATCCTATTCTATTGATCTCTCTAGCCATTCCTATTTTAATTATAGCAATATAGAATATAGCTGATTACAATGATAATACATTAATATATATTTGCATAATGCATAAATATAATACAATATGTAATAAATAATACAAATATATAATATATATGTATCATAACTATTAATATACTAGTATAACATATTTCTTACTTTATTATAAGTTTTAGTACATCTTAGACAAGCCTCATTTCTTTCTCTCTGTATGTGTGTTTATTTTAAAGGCTAATTGTTTAAAAAATTAACTATTTTAATTATAAAATATTTTCTTGTTTTCTAAAGATAAAAAATAACTTTCCTATCTGTCTATAGCTCTTGATCATCTCCCAATTTTGTTACCTTTTTACGCCTTTAGATTTTCTTATTCAAACATCCACATGTTTGTTCTTTAAAATTGAATCTACTTTTATTATTCTGTAGCTTGCTTGCATTTTTCACTTGAGAATATTCCACAGACATCAGTACATATGGATTCACCTTTGCTGCATTAGCTATCTCAGTATCTTTTTTACAACAGCTGTTTTCTTCCAGGGATTTGCTGTTAAGCAATGCTGCGGTAACCACTT